GTTTACCATTTATATTGAGTTAGCGTTCCACAACATGAAGTGGCATGGAAGATTTTCAGATAACAGCAGTGGCCTCATTCACCGTCGATTTGCTGACTTCATCTCCTGTTGGAAAGATGGCAAAATAATTTTAAGCCATGCTGCGGGAGCTAGAGTCAAAATGTAGGCAAGTTGGTATTCGAATAGACGGGGTAGAGAAAATAATTATGAAAATGGAACTTGCAGAAATGGTTGCAGTAACAATCGATAATAATCTTACAGAATTCACCGAAGTATGTCCACTTAAGACAGCTATTCATGTCAGATCACTCCTTTGGTCTAAAGCTCGCAGGAAATTTCCGTGCGACAAGGTGTGCATGCAGAAAAACGCTTACATTCTTGGTAGCAGAAAATTGACACCTGCGGTTAGAACCACGTTGTATAAAAGCACGGTATTGCCTATAGGTGGTATTTGCGGTTAGGAGACATGGGCATTAATGAAAACTAATAAAGAATCAACAGGAGTGTAGCAGTGCGTTATGGAAAAATAAAAATTTCTGTCAGCGACATGCTGCAAAATGAAGAAGTAATATATGTCATTCGGAAAGGCACGATGTTGCATTTGTATCTGAAGGAAGAAAACGGCAATGGAGCAGGTCATTTCGCATGACTGACGAATGACAGATGAACTTAAGCGGTGATGGTTTGATGCCCAAGGAGCTGCAAGCGCCCATTTGGCTCAAATTAGAGGATCGGCTGAATGAGATGTGTGAACACTTGTGAGGGAAAATTCCACGAGGCAGACGAGCGTGGACATCGAGACTAAGCAATGGTGATCCCGATTAATTACTAAGAAGAAGCAGTGCATTGTTGTTGTCAGTTAATACTGCTTTTGCTTCATTGCACTTCACTACTTCGGTAGATTTAGTAGGCGCAGAATTTTAGTATCTTGTTGTTTTATCTATTCAGAAGTGTCATGCACACATCACTGGATAGAATAGCCAGTACGAAAATGTCTTCTGTGTGAAACGGGTCTCCTTGTACATGAGGCTTTCGTGTAGGTCATACAGCGAAGAAAAAAATGATCGCCTGAAGCGCAGCATCGCTCTGAATATTATTGTTTTAGTTTTGTGTTTGGTTGGGACTAAGAGTGGATTCTAAACCGATGGATATAGTTTTCCAACCGCAAACTCCACCACTGCTGCTAGCAACGTGGCTTTGTTCTTTTATTGTATACTTTTCGTTTGCTTCTTTACGTAGTTTTAAATGTTAGTCGTCATTAAATCATCGCAAGTTATTCGTCGTGTAGCTTTGTAACGTAACGATATTCATGTAGATTCGGATGAACGACACAAAACATCAAGCGAAATGCTGCAGAGTCATCGAGATGCGTTGGACCGCAATCTCGTTTCGTTTGAGAGGTATCTGGACTACGAATCGTTGTTGCCGTACCTTCACGATGGCAAAATCTTGACCGATTTCCACGTCGAACAGCTCGAGCAGGTATTTTGTTTCTTTGTTTACATATTTTTTAAATTTTTTCTTTGATGTTTTTTTTAGGAATCAACACCATCTTCTCGCCGCATTCACTTCATCGGTATGATCAAAAGGCGTGGACCCAAGGCTTTTCGGGCATTGTGCGAGGCGCTTCAAAGGACGGGTCAATATCAACTTATCGATTGTTTGCGGAAGACCCTTGGCGAAGAAAATTTCTTTCCGGAAATCGAAACGCTGAGGAAAGCATCAAGCGAGAACGACGACGAACAGCTGCCCGTTTCCCCTTCGTCCGGTGTCGTGACAAATGAAATCTTCTACGAACATCTCTTAGAACAGTGTAAAGGTAGAATTTTGCATATAGTCGCCAGTTTTATGGATGTATTTGCGAAACAGGCTTGGTATATGAGTGCGGAGGTAGGCTGTAAGATTAGCTGCGTCTCTTGCTTAAAATAAGCGCAGACTGCTTGATTTGCTTATTACATTAGAAGCCATAACGTATTTAGCATTAGGCATACATCTAGTAAACAGCATGTGCTCATAGGCTGTTTATTTTTAAAGCTTTTTCGCATAAGTCAGTCGATCAGATTTGCTTAAGTGAATTTTAAGGCGCACGATAAGTTGCCTAAACCTTGGATATCACCATGAACAAATGTGGAACAATAAAGCAACCAGCGAAAGTGAATCCATGTAGCGTTTCGTCTTCGTTTTTTGAAAATTCGTACTTAGCCACTTACTTTTTTTATTAGCGTTAGTCATCTTTTTTTCTAAAGGTAGATGGTGTCATAGAAGGGTTTAATTCTTTTCGACAGTTATTAGTACAGGGGCCCTCAATCGTTCTAAACCCTATTACTCACCTTGATTTCCTAAAGTATTTCTATATAAACTTATACGTGAGAAGGAAGCAGTACACTAAGCTCTGCAGTATGGTTACTTAGCTGTAGTTATTGCCTTGAAAAACTTGCACTCATAGCTCATGGTATGATGATGAAAACCAATGCCGTCTTATATGCTGCATAAAAACGCATTAAATGTATGGAAGTATTCAGGTAACATCTACACGATTAAGAATTTCCCGTACCTCTCGTGTGAGGTTGTATTCAGAGTAGCCTTCTGCCTTGACAGAACTGCCATAATCGTTTATCTCTGTCAGTTCTGGGCCTCGCAATATGCGTACTCACTGGTTTGCAATTGCAAACACGAGACAGGACGTGCACGAGATTAGGACGTGCATTAGATGGAATGAAAACAATTTTCTCAAGCGGAAGCCCTCATCTTGGAACCGTTCGAAAAAGTTGACCGGAAACCGAGCAAAAACTACTGACTACTTTGCAGCCCACCTCACAGAGACTCCTATTACTGTTTTTGGTGATTCCTGAAGGAAGGGTAGTATTCTGCTCTCCACCAAAATTTGTGGTCTTGCGTTTAAGAAATAGAACGCTAACACAAAAAGAAACTCTTGGATGATTTGTCGCCCCAGTTGCACTTCTGGACAGACCAGTATTACGGGAACTGGGTGGATGTTTGACAGGAGATGGGAAGATGTAGTCTGCACTGACATGGTGAACGAAAACCATTTGGTAGTAGCTGAGCGCAATTTCATGGTACCGCATCATCTAGTGAAACTCCTACATAATATTGCAATAAGAAGGTAACTGAGGAAAAGGAAAGATTCTAGGAGCCATTATAGTGGAAGGCATCTGAAGCATGAATTACAAGAAGTGATCTACAAAATTAACTCTGCTTTACCGCTTCCGTGTCATAGCAGTCTCTAGTAGCTTAGCATTTCTTTATTGTGTATTGTTTATTTCCTGTTCCTTATTTCGAAGTGTGTCTGCATTTTATAGCTAATCTCAGTCGCTTCTATCACTCTCTCAAATGCAGGTAATGAATCGTGTGAATCATGTGTCAATAGAGCTTTAATCGACTCCATTTCAAGCAGGAGGCAGCTAAACCAAGCTTTCCCTATCTAACCGTTTTTTACCATGACGAAATGCTAGAGCGTTGCGAATCTTGATCTGGCATGGAAAGTTATCTGCATTCGTCAATTTATCTGTGAATAAAATGTATTGACTTATTTCAGTAGTATATATTTGCAAAACTTCATTTTAAATCAGTGACTCTTACCCCTGTAACTTATTCTGGAAATCACACCATTTACTGTAATAAGTGCTAAGGGAACCTTAAAAATTATCCCTCTTTGGGGAAGTTTGCGGGGGATGTTATCTTAGATTACCGTGTTTTAAATCATGTAAGCAGTCTTTTGAGCGCGGTTTGCTGTACATACGAATGTTTTATGCTTTAAATATCCTGATACCTGAAAAGTTAACGATTGGCGTTTCTACGACGAGATGGACGAAAAGTTTGCTTACATCAATTTTTGCAATGAGGGACCACACCTTGTCATACTAAGGATTTGATTAAGGATAATTCTTCTGTCGAAGAAGATCAGTAGTGCCTTCTCCTTCCCATGAAGTGAATTTATGTCGACTTTAAAATTAACATTAATTCAATGATTTTTTTTTCTTTCGTTTCAGTTGTCGAGGCCACGGATGGCATATTGGACGTGAAGGTTATCGCGGCGGCGTCTCTTCCCGAGCGATATAACGAGAAGGAAGTACGCGTTTTAGTGCTTGCTTTGCATTATTGTATTTTAATCCTTGCAATGATAAAGTTCGCACGTGAAGTGAGTGGAAATTCATTGCCTGAACAAGTGATGATTGTACGATGACATCCATGGGCGACGGTTCGGTCAACCCTGATTAACGTATCATCTCTAGTTGACTGTTTCTGGTTCACGATAGGCTCTTGCGGCTACTAGCGGCTCATAGGTTACTTTGATGTCATTGCTGGTTTTTTCCACTGGGATAACTCACCTAAACAATGAAGAAACCTTCCAGAATCAAATTCAAAAATCATATTCTTATGGTAACTCCGCCATGGCCGGTCCCAAGCCCGGATGAGAAAGGAGGAGGGTTGGAGACCGTGGCAAGTC